TTGTAATGATATTATTGGCATTGTTTTTTTTTCTTGTTCATTACATCCTGCAGAACCTTTTATGATTGAAATAAATCCAGTATTATTGGCATGATGGAAGATTTCACTGATGCATAATCCCAGCTCTGTGATTTTGCATTTGGATTGAATAATCCATATCTTGTTCTTAGCCAGTTAGTTTGGATTGATGGTAAAGTTATGCAGCTATATAATCTTTATGTAACTTTCCACAATATCAGGCACATTCTCCATTCTCATGCAGATCTGTTAATCTATAATTTAAATATTTAGATATTAATGTTATTGTACTGTTAACTGCCCCCCCCCCCCAATTTTGAATGTTGTGAAATTTGGCAATCATTCTAACTGTTCTTTGGTTTTTGTATTTTGACGCTTCCAATCAATCATCTGATCAATTGTTTATTGCAAGAATGACTAAATGTTTTTTTTTCTTTTTTGCATTTCAATTAAATGCGTTATTACACCATAATAAACTATTTTCAGATATCTCATTCTAGAAGCTAAGCTTTTATTTAGAATAAAGAATTTCACTATTTATACATGTAACTTAATTCTTAACCTACTATCACTTTATCTTGGCTCTTTTTGTGCATCTTTATATGTATATGTATACTTGTGAATATCCGTCCAAAGAATAAAGCAGGCACCGTGGTACGTGTTGTGCTGCAAATGTAGTATACAGTGTTTTGCTGTAAAATTTAATTACTTTCAAGTATTTTCATTCAATTTTGTTTTGGGTGTCTTGCTCTTAATGTTTTTTGTCATAAGCAGGGCAAAGCTTCAGATGAGATTTATATCAAACATATTGCATTAACATAGCTTATTAACCAAATACTTAGATCTTGCAGCAGTATTTGTTTATATATTATCATCTCATATCACAGTTATATTGAAAACCATCTGTCTTTGCAGTCATCTAAAACTATTCACCATTCCATGATAAACTGTCACAGCTTTAGTGGTATAGTGTACATATTGTTTATTTGTCAAATTTTTTGTGAAATGTAATTATGCTTAAGGAAATAAAGGATTGTATATAAAATTTATGGATATAAAATGTAAAACATTTAATAACAGTAAAAAATAAAACAAATAAAAAAATAAATCTGCTGTAAAATTTGAATTGTAACTTATTATGCAGCAGAAACAATTATATTAATAAGTATAATTACCTATAAACAACAGAGCAGGACAACAAATGAGATCACATCAATTAAATAAATACTTTGGGGTTTGCATTTAAATGTTAAGTTCTGATTAGTTTTCTCCAAAAAACAACTGGCTGTAATAAATTGTGTGGTTGGCCCTAAGAGACATATTTCTGATGCAAAGTCCTAAACAATATAACAGACAATGTAGTAAAAAAAATCTTGTCATAAACAATTCTCAGGAACCTATATAATTGTTTATTATAAACAATAACACTAGCATAACAACATACTGAACCTAGAGTAATTCCCTTGTAAAAGGTGAACTCTGTGACCCCAAATGTACCTTTTATTCTAACCTCCAAAAGTTTTTTACATTTAGACTGTGTAACAGTTATGCCATCTGAAGAACTGAAATAATTACACACTCCCCTGATTTTTCCTCTAAACTATGTCCTCATATGCAAAGATTTCACAATGACATCCTTCACACCAGAAATTACTATTTTTTCCATCAAGAAATGACCAGTTCCATTATAATTGGTTTTAATGAAGTAACTTCCAATCACTTTATACTGCAAAAAAAAAAAATAAAAAATAAAAAATAAATAAATAAATAAAAATAAAAAAATTTTAAAAAAGCACCATCTTGTATAACTCCTGCTTGAGAACCCCATCATATGTAGCAGACATTCTTTTGTGAAATTTGAAAATGCTTTGTAAGGCATACTGTTAACCAGCCATCACTGCATACATGAATAAAGGCAAGACAAGGTTGTCTATCTGTGTTGTCCAGGCCTCTAATAGAGAAGTTAACGCAATTCCAATTACAATCTTGTTCAGAACCAGGCTGTCAATTAAATGGCCATGACCAGATGGGGTCAAATTTGGATCAACACCTGAAACAGGAAAAAAAATGATAAGAACATTAATTTTTAATATCATAAAGCATGTGTGAAACTAGAGGTGGACAAGATGGGTTGGGGGTAAAACTATGAGTACGGCTCATGGCTGATGGTACACAAAATTAAACGGTACACTTCTTACACTCATGTTAATTCCCATTACAAGATTCTTTTCATTCAAATGATCAAAATCAACCAGTTTTAGTTTTTGTAAGCTGTTAGAATGTTAAGTAGTCACTGATAACAATGTCAATGCATATTTGGTAAGAAAACAAAATGCTCAACTTACCAAAATACATGAGAAGTGCTATTGCTGCAATTTGGGCTACAAAAGCTGCTGCTGTGCCCTCAACACTTTTTTCTGAGCCTACTCAAGTAAAACATGAATCAAAACGTAAACAGAACATAATAAAATCAATGTATAAATGGCAATCAGGATTTTACATAAATATAATCATTCAGTTTAAATATTTAAATTGATAGATTAAGATAAATAAAAGGTCCTGTAAACTGTTGGCAGACAAAAGTGTTTTAAACAAAAGGTAATAAATTATTCACAATCTACAAGAAAATTTTATCTGGAGTAATTTGATAAGGGTTACTGCTGTAAAACGAAGAGATCTAAATAAATCAAAACAAAAATGAGCTATTGCTGTAACTAATAACTTAAGGTATTTACTATTTAATATTGGATGAAAAATAAATAAATAAATAAATAAATAAATAAATCATATATATACCTGCCCACTTAGTTTTACCAAAAGCTGTTCCAAAAACTGATGCTACCATGTCTCCAATTCCAAGTGACAAGATTCCGCTATACAGGGGAAGGTGGTTAGCTGCAAGACATATTTTTAAGACAAATAACTCTAGCACAACAGTTCATACAGCACTAACTAACTAATTAACTAACTCTAGCACTAACAATTTATCCTTTAAATATTACCATACACCTTTCCATTAAAAAGAGTAAAAATAAATTGCCATTGTGATAAAAATGAACTTGTATATACAAAAAAACAAATTACAAACAAAAATTATGTTTGGTACATTTTTTACAATCAGGAGGATCACTGTAAAACAGATCCAATTTTTACAGTACTGTATTCCAAGCATCGACTTACCAAAGTTTAAATCATAAGGAGATATCCATAATGACAGGGAACAGCCTACTAATAAGTAGATATGAGTGAGAATTATCTGCCCTCCGTCTCTTTCATCCAAGAATACTTGTAGAAAAATATTCAGTATTTCACCAAATGGATATACACATAGAGTTCGTATTGACTAAAAGAGAATACATAGACTAAATCAGAACTGCAACTTCATTTGGAATTTTAACATTTTTTCATACCTATAAGCAATGATTTTTAGGCCCTGGTTCTATGCAAACTATATAAAGTTACTTATATTAATTGTCAAAAAAAATTAATAAAAATGTATTACATTCCTTCCCCATATTTAAACAGATTAAGTACTATGGATATGTTTCCCAAAAGTTGAATAGTAATGCAACACACATGGACTTCACAGTAAGTATATCATATAGCTGTACATACCTCTAATAATACAAATACACAGAAAGCCCCAATGCTGGCCAGGTATAAAAATTCAGGGTCCCATAACAGCCCAGGTAGATAAACACATACTGCTATGATATGAAAATATTTCCGAACCACTGTAGTGGATGTTTTCTTTTCATCACTCTTTTGACAGTTATTCTGGTATATCACAATTAGGACTGCTATACCTGTCATGACTAGCCAGTAAGTAAACAGGGATCTCTGGAAAATAGAATTAGATACTATAATGACGATTTCATATCAATGTGTGCTCTTTAACTTACTGATAATACTTCATTTAAATAACAATCAGCCCAATATACAATTTCTCCTTGTTCTTTTTTCTTTAAAGTTTGTGAATCATCTTAATTTCAATTTAATTTCCACTCAATATTTCAAAAACTTGTGAATAGACTCTATACCTTAAGTGAGCTGTAAAAAATGTACTCGTAGAGCCACATGAATAGATTGTCTTGAAGCACCAAATATAGTCCAGTGACTGCCCCAATGCTGACTAACAATAGCGTGAAATAAAACCCTCTGGTAGTTTGTAGGACAGGAAATAATCTGAGCAACAGGACTAAAACTCCCACTGACAAAACAGCAACCTAAGGAAAAAATAATAATTTAAGATTCTCAGGTATTTGTTATAACTGTAGTTAAGTATAAAATAATCATACTTTTAAGGAGAAACTTATCATTTTCTAGTAATAAAAAAACCTGTTACTCATATGTATTAATCAGTTACAAAATTTCAATTAGAACTAATAATGAAAAAATCATTAAATGATAAGTACAGTATCTAGACAAGTAAAGACAAGTACAATGTCAACACATACCATAGTTATAGTGGACACATTCTGGTCATTAGCTACGTTAAGATTCTGAAATTCAATTGTAATGACATCAAAGCAAAATTGATTTCACATGTTCATAGCAAAGAAATACATTTTCCATCAGATGTTCTTGGAACCCAAGATTGTACCTTCACTTTAGGATTGTGTACCAGCCACGATTTTATATTGGTTTGTAAACTGAACTACAAATATTCTATAAAGTGCATGGTGCCAAAGTGTACACAGAAACACGAAAAAAGAACCTAATTTTAAACAGTAAAGTATTATGATTGTCATCCTCATCAAAAGTTATACTTCTTACCATATAAACAATTTTCAGGAACACCTTGTTGACAAACAGCACTAGTGACTGGGCCACTATTGTTGCTTCTCCAAAGGTAAAACTCTTGGGTAAGCATTTTGGGAGTTTCAATAGCAAAAAGGTGTAAAGGATGGGGCCAAGAATTCCTATACCAAGAAGAATAGCACCAAACTTCCCTGAAATGGAGTTAAAACAATGATGAAAAGACACTTTGAATTCTCTACTACAAGCTGGGACATTTTTTAAAATAAACTTTCTATTGTAATTTGTTAATTCTTTTTCTCATATTAAAAAATTTTAAGTTATCCATACATCAAATAACAAACAATAAAATAATAACAAGACATACATAACAAATGAAAATACCAATATTTTGACTCAACATTAATTTTTTATATCTGAAATAATATTCTTCAAATGTCCCTCAACTGTGTGTACCTTTGAACAAAAAATATGGCACAGCTGTTCCTACAATACTGGCTAAGCACACCCCAGGGATCAAGTCCTTCCAGATTCTTTCCAGGTGTACATTGTCTGTTTTTGTTTTTGACAGTGACAGTTCTCTCACTTTATCACAAAGTATGTGAATGGTTAATATGCTGCATATTAAAAATGATATGTTGAGACTAAGTCCCACTGCTGCATCCAGTCCTAAAAAACAAACAAGGTCAGTTTATATAAAACTTAAGTTTGGTACTCATTGACCCTCTCTCAAATCTAAAAAGATTATGATGATACAACTCATCCTGCCTATGGGCTTCTTTAATTCCTTCCAACCAACAGTAGGCTTTTAACATTTGACAAAATGCAAGAGATTTTTAAAAACCTTTTACCCTACAGCTATAATATCCATTGATGATTGTAAATCATAGTATTTTAGTTTTTAACATTTTCTTTAAGTCAGACTTTATTCTTTTATACCTGAAACGGTAATGTCATTACTATTTTGAATGTACTTTACAAAAGCTGAACAAATTTTATCAGTAATATGAATTAAAATTAAAGGTTAAGTGCTAAACACACTGAACTAAACACACAAACATACAATTTTCTTGCTTCATGCACACAGTTAAGTTAAAATAAACCATGGTTATATCTGAAATCAAAGAAAAACATAGTTTCTCCCAAATGTAAATTTTTCCTTTTGGTATTCAGTTTCAAAAGCATAATCTGTTTCATCTTTGCAAATAATAACAACCATTAGCTTACCTCCCCTCAGGTTATATTCAGGAAGAACTGTAGCAAGAGGCAGAAGTATGCAACACCACACTCCCATCCCAGCATACTCCCTAAAATATCAAAATTTTTTGGATATCAGTTGTACCAATAATTCAAGTACATGAATATGCTCTAGTCTGATAACTGCCAGCTCAGGCCTATCCAACTACCAGACTCAGCACCGAATGATCCAGAATTTACCCACTACTTTCCAACCCTGCTGAGAATCATCACTATCACATTGCGTACTAGGCAAGAGTGTTGTCGCGCCTGATACTTCGAAGCGCGTACTGATACACACCTTGAAAACGGGTAGTGTGGTCCGATCTACTGGTGAATTCAGGATCATTTGGTGCCTAGTCTGGTAGTTGGGTAGGCCTGCAGCTTAAGCTTGTTTTTCAAGGACTAAGACAGGCTCAACTGTACATTATTGTTTTCCATAAATATTCACTGATTGATGTCACGTCTGTCATGACCATTTCGATGACAGCTTGTGTTCACATTTAATTTCACAGAAAATTTACAGGTAAGTTTAAAACACATTTTAAATCAATATCCATAAATGACAGCATATGATACCTTAACTCCCAACCAGTTAGTTTCTGCATCATTGGCACCATACGATGAAATTCAATTTTCTTGTTAAGTTTGTAGCCACAAACAATACAAACAAGAGCCATTCCTAAAAACATTAATGTCAACATTATTTTTATATTGCACATCTACCAAACAAAAAGTATATGATGCCATTTCATTTCAGTTGAAAATATTTAAAATTCATAGTTACAGTCTATTTTCATCCCAATAAGTAAGACATTTGCATTGTTTGAACAGTTTGTTTTATTTTCTTAATATCTTTGCAAAGATACCAAAGACTTAATTCATGCTACATGCATGAGTATTTTGAAATTGCTATATGTGCAAACATTTGGGCTTTTTTTCAACAAAAAAGATAATAAAAACAATTCCCATGTGCACATTTAATTAGCCTATGCTAAGCTATGGAATAATAAAGCCCCCCCCCCCCTTTTTTTTTTTTTTTTTTTGCATTGTGCTGGATACTTATCTACAGCGCAGCTTTTTGACCAGTCAATACACTTAATATATAATTATGGTATGGTTTTGCTCCCTTTCACAAGTTCAATTCCAAGTGTTAGGGTCAATCAAATATGATCAGGTTAATTGGCCACACTGAGTGTGGGGACACCATTGAGAGGACTCTCATATGTTATGCCAGGGTTATGAAGTTATCAATGGGTCATTCCATATCAACTCATCCAGCGAGGGTACCCTCCGTCAAGAAAGTTGCTGATTTTCACATATTTTGTAGATATTACAGGGACTAGAAAAAAACCCAAAATTTTAGGTTCAGATCTCAACTGGTTTAAGAGTTATGACACTCCAAAGTTGGACCCAGTTGAGGGCTTGCTGTGCCTTACATGAATCTAGGTCATAGTGACCTAGTTAAGAAAAACACTATAACAATAGTTCTACATATCGCATTGCTTTGTAGCTTTCATGACTTTATATTTTAACATTTCAGGAATCCAACTATCACACTGAAATGGTCTGGCATATTTAAAATGCACTTAATTTTTACTTTGAAAAATCCTTGTCATTTTTTCAAAACGATAGACACCCCACCCTTTTAATCTAATTTTTCTCAATGTCTCCAAATGGACAGGTGTTTTTGCCTTATCTAATATTAAAGAGGAGGCTTTGAACTTAAAAGTGAAAGTGTTAAATCAATTTGTATATTTTGGAGACAAAAATAATTAAACATTATAAGAAAATATGTGATATGGGCTATTGCATGGTCACTGATCCAGAACAATGTACTATCAAACACTCAAATTTAGAAATATCTACATTAGTTTACCTGTTATCTTTCAGAATACATTTCCTATGATGTTGTTATACTATAAAATATTTTTTTGATGTAAATGAAATTGTTTTATACAGTTGTTCTATAACTATTGACATCTCACCAATAGACCAGTATTCATGTCTCTGTGCAGATACCTACTTGTTGTCTCATGTCATTTAAAAGATATTTACAACCTAAATAAATAACCATATTATACATATGCCCAAAAACTTATTGTTTTATTATATAGCACGTTTTCTTCTTTTTTGTAGGTCAGAAAAGTTACATGTTTATCATCCAAACCCAATCTAAAGGTGCAAATAATGTCAGAGGCATGCTCTCAAAAATATTCAATGCAAGGATTAGAAACAAAGTTTGGTAATTTTTATGGTCCCACATGAAGATATGTGTATCAAAGTTTCATTGTCCTGGAACCACTTGTCATAAAAATTAATTCTTAGTCTAACCCCAAATGTTACTGTCACAAATGGACATTTTTCAACTATGAAAGTGGTGCGCTCACTTTGCAAACTCAATAAGTGCTGATTTCCTTTTTTTTTCATCATCTTATTTTTACAATTTGTACAAAGTTGTCAAAAACAAAGCAATCTTCTGTACAGAACATCAAATTTGCTGCAATTTTAGTTTGTTTGTCACTGAATTTTATAAATACAAATGTAGCATGCTAACAGTAAAAGAAACAAAATGAACCATTTTCTATTACTGGTGCAAAAATTATGTCAGAAATGCCAAACACTATGCATTTTATGTATGTTTAGCAAAACACCCTGTTACCTACTGCACTAAGGACTTGGTCAAAAATAACCTTTTTTTTTTCGAACATTTTTCTGGGAAACATAAGTTACCTATACACACATGATAAATATTGCATGTAGAAGTAAATTTGAGGCAGGCATGCATTTTTGTTCTACACACAGGTTATAAAAATCGATTACAATTTCAAAATTCAATCAGTAATATTTTTTATACTACAGCATGTGAAATTCACCTCTATATTAGGTTGGGGTAATATGCAGAATGCTTTGTATAACTATTTACATTAAATGTATTCTAGGGATAACATTTTATCTTACATATTCTACTCACCCAGAATTTTCTTTGGTCAGCAAGCATTTGCTGGGTGCCATTAAATGATATAATTTGCAAATTATCATCCCTGTTCCTGTCACTGGCATATCATATACTATTATGCAGGGTGGCCAAAGGAAAATTTGTGAGAAGTTCCTTGCACATTATGTATCATAGATTAGATTTTTTAATCATCTTTAACTAAAAGAAAAATAGTAATTATTGCTAGACTGCAGTACATTCAAAATATTTCGGCCAGATTATTAACTCGGACATCCACAAGTATACACATCTCCCCAGTTTTAAAAAGTTTACACTGGCTACCTCTACAAGCCAGAATTTTATTCAAATTTTTAGTTTTTACTCACAATGCTTTTTATGGATTGGCACCAATCTACATCAATGAATTAGTTAGTCACTATGTTCCAATGTGAAATCTGTGGTCTGTAGACCAATTGCTACTCAACCCAGTAAAAATGCAATTAAAAACCTACGGTGATATATCTTTTAAAGCTGCAGGTCCAAAGGAATGGAATCTATTACCGCTGGAAATCCGAGCAATTTAGTCTTACAAACATTTTAAAAAAGAACTCAAAACATACCTTTTAAGGAAATATTTTGATTAACTCTTAATTGGTTTTATAAATCTTGTATTAATTGCATTTAATTGTATGGAATAATGGCTGTTTTACCTAGATATTATTTATGATATTTTATGTAGTATTATTTACGATATTTTATGTAAAGTCTACTGAACATTTTAAATGGATTTTAGACTTAAAATAAATTTATTATTATTATTATTATTATTATTATTATTATTATTATTATTATGGAAAAATCATATTTTTAGGTTATGTAAGGTAAAATGTTTACTTGAAAATACATGTTACAGTTGTACAAAGCATTCTGTATATATACATGTAAATTATGTAACCATTTTGACATATAAATAAATAGATAAACATGTACATTATAATAAAACAAGTTTTGGGACATATGCATGATATGGTCATTTATTTAGGTTGTAAGTATCATTGAAATGACAAGACACAACAAGTAGGTATCTGGAAGGAGACATGAAAACTGGTCTATTGCTGGGATGTCAATAATTAAAAGAATGTCTGCATAAAACAATTTCATTTACATCAAAAAAATATTCTATCGTATAACAACATTATAGTAAATTTAAACTGAAAGATAACAGGTAAACTAATGTAAATATTTCTAAATTTGGGTGTTTGATAGTGCATTGTTCTGGATCAGTGACCATGCAATAGCCCATATCACATATTTTTTTATAATGTTTAATTACTTTTGTCTCCAAAATATACAAATTGATTTAACACTTTCACTTTTAAGTTCAAAGCCTCCTCTTTAATATAAGATAAAGCAAAAAGCACCTGTCCATTTGGAGACATTGAGAAAAATTAGATTAAAAGGGTGGGGTGTCTATCGTTTTGAAAAAATGACAAGGATTTTTCAAAGTAAAAATTAAGTGCATTTTAAATATGCCAGACCATTTTCAGTGTGATAGTTGGATTCCTGAAATGTTAAAATATAAAGTCATGAAAGCTACAAAGCAATGGGATATGCAGAACTATTGTTATAATGTTTTTCTTAAGTAGGTCACTATGACCTAGATTCATGTGAGGCACAGCAAGCCCTCAACTGGGTCCAACTTTGGAGTGTCATAACTCTGAAACCAGTTGAGATCTGAATCTAAAATTTTAGGTTTTTTCTAGTCCCTATAATATCTACAACATATGTGAAAATCAGCAACTTTCTTGACGGAGGGTACCCTCGCTGGATGAGTTGATATGGAATGACCCCAATCTATCAAAATGTTGCAATACAGATTTTGAGAAAAGTACGCTGCACAATGTGAAAGAGGACCTTTGTGAAGACTGCAGTTTTCCAGGCTTGTGGTTGATATCAAGGAGCTTGTTAAAACTTCCTGATATTGATAAAAACCAAAAATCATGGAGATTATATCTTCAATTCTATAAACTGTATCAGATACATATGTCTTCCTATACCATATTGGGGAATTATAATGATACATACCATGTACAACAAGTAAGTAGACGTCATAAGTATGTTTTTGAAGATGCTCTTTTAATGCAAAAAATATTGCACAGAAAAGAACAGCCTCCTCCCTCATAATGCCAAATTCTCCCCTCTCTGCAGGATCTTATGAATGGTTCATTTTTCAATTGGCCTATAAATGAGAAAGTGCATTATTTTACACATTAATAAGATTTAACAAATATAAAAATTTTATATTTAATAATTTCAGTTCATGCATGATGCACTGTATGTTGACAGTGTGTGTCACTTACTGTACCTCAGTTTTCATCTGAGCCGAAACTAGAAAGGTCTTAAAATGAGTCAAAGATGAGTTTCGACTTTAAAAAACGAATGAAGTGTCTTACCTTTGCAGTGTACGATTAACTTCTGAAAAAAGCACCATCTTTTTCTTGCGTTACTCTCTACATTATAGCAAAGAGTTCTGTAGGAATCCAAACAAAAGCTAAACTGTCTGCCGGATGTGGAAATTGCAGTTACAGAGCGATTCTGCACGTGTAAAAAAGTTTCTACGAAATTTAGAAACCTTATTTGAAGAAACTGTAAATTTTGACATTATGATTTTAATTCGATATGATTTTAATCTATTAGTTACGGTTGTTTTGGAGATAATATCAATAATTCAACCGATAATTCGGAAGGTGTAACTAAAATTGCAAAAATATCATAACTCTGTCTTTGTTTTTGCTGGGTACGAAGAGCAGCCGACACACAACGGTAGGACGACAATTATGGCAGACTGTCATCCAAACACACTTCCTGCAATGAGAGATAGGTAGGTTTGACAGTATGTAAGTTCAGAGTAACCTTTTTATACAAAAACTGATGAAAATGTTTACGACTCTTTCAGACTCTTTCAGCGTACATGTCATCTATACTATAGACTATAGACCTACCCTACTTTAGTTTAAAGAACCCATCAGTTAATTACATGAGGTAGTGTAGGGCCTTACTGCTTGATAACGTTTTTATTCTATTAATTCCATTTATGCAGTAGTGCTACCACTGTTTTTAGTATTGAAAAGGGCTTGTATTCCACTACTTTTGTCCATGTTCACGTCCTTCAGTTTTATATCCAAAAATTATTTGTCAAAGATTATTTCAAATCTAATATTTTTACCCTGAATATAGACAATAAATTTCTGAAGCTGTGAAGTGGAGAACACCCTTTTTGCACATTATTTTATTTGATTTTTCTATTCAGGTGTTGTGGTAGTACATTAATTGTGTTTAATCAAAATTAAAAGTACTTTGACATACTACTGGTAGTAGTACTGTATATAAAGTTAAAAGAACCTAGGTTAAAAGAATATCATATGTCTTAATATGCAGTATTTCAATTTTAAACTTCAAACAAATGATTATGGTATGAATATGTAGATTTTATTTATTTTATTTTATTTTAGATATGATGGAGTGATCATCGATATTAACAAGCAAACATATGAAACTGAAGAGGACTTTGAGAAAAAATTAGTCAGTATGTATGGTAAAGCAAAAAAAATGATTTGCAACAATATTTTACTTCTGAAACTTTGCTGAATGTTCATAACGTCACTGATAGCATTTGGAATTAGCATTCTTGCAAAGGAATGTTTATAGAAATGCCTGATTTACTTACACATAAGATGATGTTATATAAGTGTGCTATTGAAAAATATTAATGAATGTGTACTGATTTTTTGGTCAGATTCTTTGTGTAGTTGGTCAAAGGAGGCTGTTAGGGGTGTGTGGGTGAAAATACCCCTAGACATGGCAACACTGGTGCCAATATGTGCAAAGGTAAGAGCATAAACTTACATTATACTCAGTATATGATTTATGAACTACAGTTCATGCATTATTTTGCACTCTGTCTCTGTATTATAATTTCTAAAGGATTTTGAGAGGTAGTAACAATCAGTTTGTTTCAAGTTGGCAGAGTGAGGCTCATTTTCAGAGGGGCTGGGTGGGTGGAGGGTTTAAATTGTACATACGAGTACCTATGATTTAGTACCCACCTAAAACAACCCACTGTGTGACCCGTGAAAATGCAGCATAGGAAATATAGACCAGATCTTGTCTTGTCTTATATCTTTTTTTTTTTCTTTTTGGCTGGATATTTTCCCCTTTTCACTTCCAAAAAATTAGAATGAGTCCTACAGAAACATGTGTTGGGGTTAGGGGTTATTATCCTGGATATGTTTGTAAATACTGTTGAAATATTTCCTCTTCAGTTAATTTCAAAATGTATGTCATATTACTGACCTGTTTTTATGCATAAAAATTGTTAATTGCCATGCATTCCTTACTCATGGGAAACCCAAATTTCTTTTGTGTGTGTCTTTACCCTTCCTCTTTCCACTTTGCATAGCATTTACTGGTGCCCAAATTGAATATAATCTCCTGTGTATTCCAGTTTTTAGTAAATTATTGATTTTATTTTTTTGTAGCATAAATTTGTGTACAACCATGCTAAACCTTCTTATGTCATGATGACTAGGTGGCTACCTCAAGATGAAGAAAACTGCATTCCACCATATGCAAACCAGTATTTAGGTAATGCAAAGTTTTACCAAATAAAATGCCTTTGTTCTTGTATGTATGTCTTGATTTTTCTTTTGCAGAAAAAATTCTTATGTAAATTGTTTATGCAAAACAGCCTTTTTTTCTCAATTAAAAAGGAAAGTAAATTATAGAATAATTGCCAAATTGTATATCTCATGTTTACAATGCTTGAACCCCATTGACTGAAGTAGAGACCATTAACTATAAGATTTTGGCTGTAGTAATGTGGATGAAAGGAAAAGGTGAAATTACATTTGGCATCAGTGTTTCATAAGAATAGGTAAAATTTGATGTTTTGTGTCATTAATAAGAACCAATTCTTTTAAATTAAATATTGATTTTATTAAAAATTTTGATATACCTCTAGTTTCATCTACTTTCAAACAGGTTGTGCTGGGTTTGTTGTAAACTCTGAAAAGAAATTACTGGTAATACAGGAAAAGTACCATGTTCAAAAAATGTGGAAGTTACCTGGTGGATTGGCTGATACAGGTATGGGTGCATATAGCATACAGAACTTGGTTATTGAACTTACATTGTGTTCATATTTATGTGGTATTTTATGACCTTGAACAATTTTATTATGATTGATATGATATTAAAATACCAACCATTCTAGATTAAATCATCAACTATGTTAGAAAGATATTTCTTTTCCAAAACAATGAATGTATGTTTGTCTGAAGACAAGACTTAAAATATATGCTAAAAGCTTTTTTATCCTACATGTTTTTTTTTTGAGGAGTTTTTGAGGAGCAAAATAAGCATCAAAATTGGCCTCTGAAACCTTATTTAAAAGAAGAAATATTCAAAATTTGCCTATGAAATTTTATTATGGAAAAAGCATAAATGTGTGTTCCATAGATGTCATAAAATTAAACATTCCATGCTCCTACTAGGTGAAGACATTGGTGAAGCAGCAGAGAGGGAAGTGTTTGAAGAAACTGGGGTACGCTGTAAATTTCAGTCAATAATTTGTTTCCGACATATGCACAAGTTCCGTCATGGATTGGACGACTTCTACTTTATCTGCCTAATGGAGCCTATGTCAAAGGAAATAACCAAGTGTGACAGGGAAATTTCTGCCTGCTGTTGGATGGATGTAAGTGACACAACTTTGCAGTATCTTTTTGCACACTTAAGAGGTGAGAAATGTAAACTTAAATTAGAATGGAGTACAGATTTGAAATTTGGAGTTTGCAGATTCCAATATTTCTAGAAGGAAGAAAACAGTGTATATATTAAGTCAGAATAATATTACCAGTTTATGATTTGTTTTGGCATTTCCAGTTAGATGAATATATCAACCATCCAGATGTAAGCCATACCAACAAAATGTTTGCCGAGTGCTACCTAAATATGATAGCCAGGAAAGAAAAGCTATCAATACAACCAACTGTTGTTCCACATTTCTCAGGAACCAAGAATGACTTGCTTTATAGTATGCTACCGTTTCCTGACACTAGTAGTAGCAGTAGTAGTAGCCAAGAACAAAAACAGTGAAGAAAAGAGGCGAATGGAGAGGTACAGACCAACTTATAAGTGTATGTTGATGTACCACCAGCCATTTCCATGTATTTAAAGACATTTTATGAAGGCATGTATTCAGAAAAGCTTATTGAAGCATATTCCCATTGAAATAATATCTTAATTTAGGCCAAGTCATATTAGCACAACTGCATTGTATTTCAAACATATTTCCTTGCTCCAAAATTACTCGGATGTCATTTTTATCACAAATAACTTTGTGTTCCACTTTCCTGGTATCAAGTCAGCTGTGTGATTGGGAAGATGTTGCACTGCAGTAGGAAAGTATATCCAAACTGATGAGAAAAGCAGCTGTTTGTATTCAGATCATTTAGAAAAAGAAAATTTGGTGACTTCTTGGCTTCTCTCTCCTCAAGGTCTTATTCATTGGCACTTCCAACACCTTCCCTAAACAAAAGCAGTGTTGACATTTTTCTTAGTCATTCATTTATCATTTATTTTATTTTCTTGTCACTGTATTTCTGTGCATGTCACCTTTTGTTTGAGGGGTCCTTGGATTGCTTCTTGACCAAATGAGACTGATACCCTCTTCAGCGAGGTTATACATTTTGCTGTGGCATCTTGTTTAGCATGTAACCAACCCCTGCTCTGAAGTAACATGCTCATCCTCAAGTCTCTCCAAGAAATAAAATGCAAATGAAAATTTAATCTTTATATTATGCTCAAAAATGGGAAATTACATCTGTAAGAGTTATTCCATGGTTTATGGTAACTGTCAGTCAATTTACTAAATAAACCATCAAAACAAAGTTTATAGATAATGTGCGGCCTACTCATGCTTCAACAACACACAGAAAACTGAACTTTCTAGTCAGTGATGATGAGACAACATAATTGTTGAGTGGGGACTTTTCTGTTATTTTTAAAAACACTGACTTATTTTTAATCAGGACTGGTGGTCTGCATCTCTTGCTCTGTGGTATTTGACTGATGGTAACTTGGCTTCCATTGGGAGGACTGCTTGACTGGAGTTCAGCATTCGGTGGAGGTTCGCCATAATGGTCTTTTTTCTTTTAGAACTACCAGTAGATGGGGCATTTGTAGGTGTTGACTCTGCCATATGCTGTTACTCCATGTTTACTCCGTGAAGGCTAAAAGGGAATACATGTCTCTCAGAAGAGAGTTTTTAATATAACAACCACGTCTAAAAAACTGTATTTATCTGTCACCTCATTCATTTATTCTGAATATTGTGTCACAAGCATTCACTTGAAGATTTTAGCATCTTTTACATAAAAATCATTTTCTAATCAGTGTATATAATGTACTGGCAAGGATATGGACTTGTATACATTCATACCCATATTAATTGTCTTGTTTTAAGCAGTGCCTTCCCTGTTAAAAAGTAGTTACATGGGTTGGGATTACAATCAGGCAGCCAAGTAATTATCATTATAAAACATACTCTTAAGTAACATTTTAAGGTGACATTATACATTATGCAATTTTATGCATATTTATGTGAATTATGAGTTTAGATTTTTTTTGACAATTTCTATATTTTAAAGATATATTATACAATTAGTGACTTTGACTGAGGCCATTATGTTGTTTTGCTGACCTCAGAAAAGTGATATGGACCAAGGTGCTTTCCTGGAAAGTACTCGGCATGATGATGTGTTGCTTTTTTTGAGGAACTTGACAAACCAGGTCACAGGACATTTCATAATGTCTGAAAAGTAAACCAATACAATATAAGGTGAATGCCAATTATAATATTATATAATGATGTATAATAATTTTAAAAAGCAATACAGTGAAAAGATATTTGAAGTTGTGATTCTAATATTAAAGCATTAAATATATTTACTTGTAACATTTTACATGGTGAATGAATAAAATAATTGCCTACATTGTATGCCTTGCATTCTTGATGTGTTACCCACATTTGTATGTTGGTGCTAAATGCTTAGACCCAGAAGTATTGCAAAATAGCCAAATATTCTTTCAAAGGAAGAAAATAAAGGGAAAATTTGTGTTATTTTCTGTATTCAAAGCATTGAAAGTTGTTTTCTGAAGATATGTATTTAAAATTTTTATTCCACAAGAAGCATTGGTATATGTTCAATTCAATATTTATATGGAAATTTTTGTATGTATAATTATGGTGATCATCCATCATTACTACCCAGCACTGTAACAATGCAGGGAAGCAATGCTGGGGGAGGGAGGCATACTGATATGCGTAATGCCATGATTTTAGTAACAGGTAGTTATTATCAGGGAAGTAATGACGATCCCTTACCATTAGCAATGAAAAACTCAGGGAGTTAGTGAATACCTTTACATTGTACAGTAGTATCACTTGAGCAAAACCACTCACAGTGCATGTGATAGTTTTTTGAAATGCAATATTGAATGATACATATAACAATCATCTGACATGGATATTAAAATTTTGATTTGAAGAAACTGCTTCATGTCATGCTCTATGTTGAACTCTTTGTTAAACTGGGATATTTCAATTTCTGCACAAAGAGCAGTCATTTGTGTGGTACCTGGACTATGCACAATGTTCCATTCTTGCCTTCTAAGCAAGTCTGCACAATAAATTGCATACCTGCTGGTAGAGTTCACACTTTCAAGTCGTACGTGACTTCTATCATTGATGATGAGAATTTTAAAATGTTGACCAACTCTAAGAATTTTAAAAACCATCCACCTCTAAAATAGGCAGTCTTCTACTTGAACAGACCATCCAAAGGAGGACTGGATGGCTCACCTTTGATCAGAATGAAATTAACAAGGCAGCAAAGCTGTCAAATGTACAGACAAAAAACAGAAAATAAAGATGCAAAATAGGTCATTTTGTCAATTTTGATGCAATAATAAATAATGCTTATAATAGCACTGTCAGTCAACACTGAATTTTAATCATGCACAACAGGTAACATGGTCAATAAAAGGAGTGTGGACCC